GTTGCTTCAGACACTGAATTAATCAAATGAGATTATATAGTTTCTATTTACTTTTCTTTTGAAGCATGATTTTCACTTACTGGCTGAACTACAAGAACAGTTGTAGCTACTTCTAATACTGAAGTTTAGATCCATTAGGTAAACAATATAAATTAATTTACATACTTCTAGATAAGATGGTACATGTCAGTAAAATATATGAAATCATTTGGTTGCTACCTGGAACAGGAGTTCTTAACTATTAGTACATTCTCACATCACAAAACACTTACAAAACATGATCTGTTCAGACATAAAGCCCAGAAAATGTTCCACAAAATAAACCTTAATTTGACCTTAAATATGTCAACTGAATAAACAAATCCTTCGTTTTGTTCTGATTTCTTTTTTATTCACAGTGAAGAAGAATTTGTTAATGTACTACAAACAATACTAATGTATGTGATCTGACACAGTAACTTTGTTGTGTGTAAGTCTAGGTTATTCCAACTGCAAACAAAAATCTTCAATGCAGGATGTGCAATTGCTATTTCATTAGAACTAGCTTCTCTCTAGCTATTGGATATAATATACTAGGTAAACACAAAATATAAATAGAAACAGAAGAAAGCAGAAAGAAAGACTTGTGCACAAAAGGGAGCAGCATAGGGAACAAAAAAGAAGAATTAGAGATGTATGCATGTCTATGGGGGTATGATATAATAGGCATTACAGAAACATGGTGGGATGGCTCCTATGACTGGAGTGTTGGAATGGAAGGTTACAGGCTCTTTAGAAAAGACAGGCCTGGCAGACGGAGAGTTGTTGCTTATGTTATGGATAGGCTGGAGAGTATGGAACTCTGTCTGGGAACAGGTGAGCAGTCAACAGAGAGTTTGTGGGTCAGGGTTAAAGGGAGAACAGCTATGGGGGACATTATTGTGGGGATCTATTTCAGAACACCTGACCAAGAGGACACTGTGAATGAAGCACTCTATAGACACAGGAACAGCCTCATGCTCACAGGCCCTTTTTCTCATGGGGGACTCCAACCACTCTGGTATCTGTTGGAGCAATGTTACGGCCCGTCACAAGCAATGCAGGAGGTTACTCGATGGTGTGGAAGAAAACTTCCTTCTGCAGGTAACAGAGGAGCCGACAAGGAGAGGTGCCATGCCTGACCTCGTGCTTACCAGCAGAGAGGGTCTGGTGGGAAACATGAAGCTCCAGGACAGCCTTGGTTATAGCAATCATGAGATGGTCGAATTTGAGATCCTCAGGACAGTGAGAAGAGCGTGCAGCAAGCTCACTGCCCTGGACTTCAAAAGAGCAGACATTGGTCTCCTCAGGAACCTGCTTAGTAAGGTACCATGGGATATAGCCCTAGAGGGCAGGGGGGCCGAAGACTGTTGGTTGATATTCAAGGATCACCTGCTACAAGCTCAGGAGTGTTGCACCACAACTAGAAAGAAGTGCAGCAGGAGGGCCAGGAGACCTCCTTGGATGGATAAGGAGCTGTTGAGGAAAATTGAAAAGAAAAAAGAGGCTTGTGAAAGGTGGAAGCAAGGACAGGAGGCCTGGGAAGAATACAGGGATGTTGTCCGGGAAGCTAGGGACCAGGTTAGGAAAGGTAAGGCCCAGTTAGAATTAAACTTGGCTACGGACATAAAAGATAACAGGAAGGGATTCTGTAGGTAAGTAGTGAATAAAAGACAGACTAGGGACAAGTTAGGCCCCTTCTGGAAGCTATGAGGAGAACTGGCTACCCTGGATTTGGAGAAGGCTGAGGTTCTGGATGACTTCTTTGCCTCGGTCTTCACTGGAAAAGGCTCTGACCACACAATCCAAGACTTGGAGGGCAGACATAGGGACTGTGAGAATAAAGACCCTAGGCCCACTGTAGGAGAGGATCTGGTTAGAGACCATCTCAAGAACCTGAATGTACACAAGTCCATGGGACCTGATGAAATCCATCCGTGGGCCCTGAAGGAGCTGGCAAATGAAGTTCTGAAGCTGCTGGACATAATATTTGAGGAATCATGGCAGTCGGGTGAAGTTCCCAACAGGAATGGAAAAAGGGAAATATAACCCCCATTTTCAAGAAGGGGAAAATGGATGACTCGGGGAATTACAGACCAGTCAGTCTCACCTCTGTGTCTGGCAAAATCTTGGAGCAGATTCTCCTGGAAGACATACAAGGAACACAAAAAATGCCAAGGTGCTTGGTGACAGCCAGCATGGCTTCACTAAGGGGAAATCCTGCCTGACCAATTTGGTGGCCTTCTATGATGGAGCTACGGAACTGGTGGAAAGGGGTAGAGCAGTTGATGTCATCTACCTGGACTTGTGTAAAGCGTTCGACACTGTCCCACATGACATGCTTGTCTCTAAATTGGAGAGACATCAATTTGACAGATGGACCACTCAGCGCATAAAGAACTGGCTGGATGGCCACTCACAAAGAGTTGTGGTCAATGGCTCAGTGTCCAGCTGGAGACCAGTAACGAGCGGTGTCCCTTAGGGACCAGTGTTGGGACCGGTCTTGTTCAACATTTTTGTTGCTGACATGGACAGTGGGATTGAGTGAGCCCTCAGCAAGTTTGCTGATGACACCAAGCTTTGGGGTTTGGTTGATACGCTGGAGGGAAAGGATGCCATCCTTGACACACTTGTAAATTGGGCTGATGCCAGCCTCATGAAGTTTAACCATAACAAGTGCAAGGTCCTACACCGGGGTCAGAGCAATCCCAGGCACAGCTACAGGTTGGGCAGAGAAGAGATTCAGAGCAGCCCTGCGGAGAAGGAGTTGGGGGTTCTGGTCGATGAAAAAATGAACATGAGCTGGCAGTGTGCACTCGTGACCCAGAAAGCCAACTGTATCCTGGGCTGATTCAAAAGGAACGTGACCAGCAGGTCGAAGGAGGTGATCTTTCCACTCTACTCTGCTCTCGTGAGACCTCACTTGGAGGACTGTGTGCAGTTCTGGTGTCCTCAACATAAAAAGGACATGGAACTCATTGGAACAAGTCCAGAGAAGGGCCATGAGGATGATCAGGGACTGGAGCTCCTCCCATATGAAGATAGGCTGAGAAAGTTGGGGCTGTTCAGCCTGGAGAAGAGAAGGCTGCATAGAGACCTCATAGCAGCCTTACAGTATCTGAAGGGAGCCTATAGGGGTGCTGGGGATGGACTATTCATTAGTGACTGTAGTGATAGGACAAGGGGTAATGGTTTAACACTTAAACAGGGGATGTTTAGATTGGATATAGGGAAGAAATTAATTACTGTGAGGGTGGTAAGGCACTGGAATGGGTTGCCCAAGGAAGTTGTGAGTACTCCATCCCTGGCGGTGTTCAAGGCCAGGTTGGACAGAGCCTTGGATGGCACATTTTAGTTGTGAGGTGTCCCTGCCCATGGCAGGGGGGTTGGAAATAGATGATCTAGAGGTCCTTTCCAACCCTAACTATTCTATGATTCTATGATTCAGTATATCCATATGCAAAGAGGAAAACATCCAGAGAAGGAGAAATATTCTGTGTGCTTAAAACCCCCACAGATTATACAGATATAAAAAAAGGAAAAAGAATAAATAAGAGAGAAAACTAAGGGTGGGGAGAAGGAAAAATAGATATTAAGAAGATACAGAGAAAAGTGGTTCTGGCAACAAGACAGAAACACTCTACTAATTTAAAGTTGCTTCCTGATATTTCAGAATCCACAGTTGACGTAAAAAATAGAAAAAGTTCAATGGTTTTTAACAAACAAAAATGAAATTGAAGTTTTGGAGTGTTTTCTGGTAACTCAATAAATCTCCTTGTGGCCTTAAAATAATAAATAAATAATTTAAGCTCTTTTAAAAACCTCTGTCTTCAAAATTTCGATGTTGTTTCTTTTAACTGCCTCACATATTTCCTGACATCAAGAGACCTCTAACAGATTAGTTACTTCTATTAAGTTCATCCTTTTCCAACATGTATTCTGGAGAAAATACTCAGAACCTTCCCAATGCTATACATTTGCAGCAGTATGCTATAGGTTAAGCAGCCTAAAGCAATCCAATACACAGAAGTTGAATTGATTTGGATGACATGTTTTAGTGTGAAGTGTCCCTGCCCATGGCAGTGGGGTTGGAACTAGATAATCTTAAGGTCCTTTCCAACCCTAACTATTCTATGATTCTATGATCCTATGATTTTTATTTCCAAGCAGAAGCTGAATCCATATAACTTTTATAAAAAATGGAAACTATGTATACACTTCGATTAGCTGTAAGGCAGTAAGATTAAATAGTGACTATTTAGCCTTGATAGCTAAACAGATTTTATACTGTCTGAATTTGATGAGAGGAACTGATAACACATAACACATTCTTCAATTTATGTACCAGTTTACAAGTTACCTTGGATCTCAACTTGTCTAATTTCAAATGCCAGTGTAATGGACACAGTAAAGCTTTAGGTGACCGCATAATAGCTCAAAAATACCCCCCAGAATACACTAGCTAGAAGTCTTCAAAATGTACCAAAGATCAGACAAATATTGGTAAACACCTCCTTGTTTGGAAGATTTGAGACACCTCTGTGTTATTAGACATGAGTTTGGGAACAAACCATTCTCTCTCTTTTCATGCATACATCTAATTTGTCGCCACTTAAATGACTGATGAAGTTAGAGAAGATTCCTCTCTAATTCAGCAGCATATTTCAGTATATTAAAAATGGTATTATTTTAGTATCAGATTAAAAGGACTAGACAAGCTGGCAGAATCTGAGCTTTTTTATGTGAACCCCAAATTTCATTCAAAAGATTCTCAAAAATACGAAGCCCTAAACATTTTTCTCAGCCCAGTAGCTAAAATTCTTAATGTAGTCCGTTTGCTTAAAAAAAAAAATCCTCAAAAAGTGATTTTCAGCTGCTTTTGATGTCAGCAAGAACCGTATCTGTTGCTTCTTAGCAATGTGTACAAGTCACCCCTCTGCAATTGGACACAGCATCTTTTCAAAAAAGAATATAAAGCTTACCTTGAAGAAAGTCATGGTTGCTCCATCTTCAACTGTCCCATACTCTATCTTTGTCTGCTTGGCCAAATCATCAGCAGAATCAATAGGGGATTCCATACGTTCGACTGTCAGAAAGGCGGCTAGGTTAGCAGTATACGAAGAAATGATGATAAGTGTGAAAAACCACCAAATGCCTCCCACTATCCTGGTGGAGAGGGCTTTGGGCATGAGCTCTGAACCTAATGAAAACCAGGGGAGAAAAGTGAAACCAATGCACAGACAATAATAAGTGTTCAGCACTTTTTGCCACAGTGGGGAGGTGGAATCACGGTGCAAAATAATCTTTAGCCTACAGGCTTACATATACTGCTTGTACAAACACACACAACTGAAATGAAAAATAAGGATTGATTACACTTATAAAGACAGACCTTTTTAGGGCTGTGGGAATCAAAACATAGAAATGGGAGATTCAATGATCAGTGCCTCTTAAAATTTATAAGAATATACATATCAACATTAAAAAAAGCAGTTACTTGAACTGGCTTTCCAGAAAAATTGTGAATGCTCCCTCTGGCAATGTTCAAGGCCAGGCTGGCTGGAGTCTTTGGTGACATGGTTTAGTGCAAGGTGGCCCTGCCCATGGCAGCAGGGTGGGAACTAGGTAATCTTAAGGTCCTTTCCAACTGTAACTATTCTATGATTCCATGTTTCTATGATTCTATGAAAAATCTTGTCTGGATTGAGCCTCTTAAGTTAATATTGAAGTATTTGTATAGTTCTTCATCATCAAGACACTATACAAATATTAAGTACTTAGTAAAAAGTCACTTAAGTAAGTAAAAGCTACTGATGAGAGGACCAGGTACAGAACAAAACTATTTAGTATCTGAAATACGAATTCCGAAATCTTTTATAAATATGCTTTGGACTTTTGCCATTAACATTGCTGTAAAGGTTTGCCCATTAACTGCTTATATAAAAAAAAACATCTCCCATCTCTACAGGTAGCCCCACAATTACAGATAAACATGGGTGGCTATGCCAAACACTTAATTTGATAGAGCAACAATGAAAAAATTAGACTGCTAAGCATAAACTAGATAAAGATAGATTATAATGCATTGCTGGAGTTGCCTGCTCATGGCACTAAAGAACGGAGGGGAGAGACAGCTACTGTATAATAATTTGCATAATTATTAACTCTAATTTAGAGTCTAATGAGACAATCTGAAGCACATAAACTCCTCTTGTGCCTAATTACTAAAAACAGGAAAAAATAAAATTCAATGGAATTTACAACCGCAAATATTTATCATAAATGAGCATGCATGGATTTTTTTCTGTAACATTTTAACTGAATTGAATGAAATTTCTGATAATGTTGAATAAACAATTTCAAGCTTCACAGTAAGAACTTTACATAAGATCTTTAAGAAGTAGCTGGAAACTTGCTTTCAAAAAAACAGTTTCACCATATCCAGTATATATACCAAAATGATCCTTTTTTGTTAATTGCTTAATATGTTTGATTTTAAATCTCCTGGGTAAAATGGAATGAAGGCAAGATGGACTATTTTATTTCTGTTAAATTTTAGTATTTATATTTAATTGTTTAAGGAACTGGTCCAGCAAGGTAACACATCTTCAAATAAATGAAAGATTATGCCAAACTTCCAAAGTCAATGCCAAAAAAAGAACAGAAGAAGAGAGAGGGGGAACAAAAGAAAAGGAAAAAAGAAGTGGTATCATAACTGGACTATCGTATTCAAAAACAGCCCATCTTACCCTGCAGTTCATCTTACCCTTGCTGTTTCAAACAAAAAAAGCTGAC